ACCCCCCAGTGACCGGCTCCGCACCATGATCAATGTTCTCGGTGACGCCTTCGGTGCGGGTATCGTGCACCACTTCTCCCGGGCCGACCTACTGAGGATGGATGAGGAGGACAGGCAGGAGAGGGAGGGAGAGGAGGAGAGTGTGGACCTCAGTGAGGGAGGGGAGGAGAGTGGGGACCTCAGTGACGTCATCACAGCTCAGGCAGACGGCGACAAGCGCGTCAATGGAGGAGTGGACAATGTGGCGTACGACAGCTCGAGAATGTGATTGTGAACCAGATAATAATAATATTATATTGAGAATGTGATCGTGAACTAGATAATAATATTATATTGAGAATGTGATTGTGAACTAGATAATAATATTATATTGAGAATGTGATTGTGAACTAGACACATTGAGAATGTGATTGTGAACTACATGTAGATCTAAACAATATGGGGTATGATAGAATGTGATTGTGAACTAAACAAATTGAGAATGTGATTGTGGACTAGACATATTGAGAATGTGATTGTGAACTAGACATATTGAGAATGTGATTGTGAACTACATGTAGATCTAAACAATATGGGGTATGATAGAATGTGATCGTGAACTAGACAAATTGAGAATGTGATTGTGGACTAGACAATAATAATGGTGAGTGACAGAATGTGATTGTGAACCAGACAATATGGCATGTGATCTTATGTGATTGTGAACAAGCCAATGTGGGGTAGGGTAGAATGTGACTTTGAACTTCACAACATGGGGTACGACAGAATGTGATTGTGAACTTCACAATATGGCGTATGACAGAATGTGATTGTGGACTAGACTACTCGAGAATGGGATTGTAAACGCGACAAGTTGATTTATGACAGCTCTATGATGTGATCAGTCAGGCAGATTGTCCACTTAAAGAACTCCACCTCCCCCACTCCCAATCCCGTGTGTGTGAGTCTGTGAGTATATGATGAGTGTGTGTGTGTGTATGAGAGAGAGAGAGAGAGAGAGAGAGAGAGAGAGAGAGAGAGAGAGAGAGAGAGAGAGGGAGAGAGAGATCCTCGAGTCCCAGCAATGTCTTACTTACACTTAAGCCGAAGTCTAAGCCCTGTCTGCCTCGTGCAGTTATCTCGAAGTTGCCACCAACCACACACAAGCGACAGAATCTTATTGATCTACTTATACCTATTATACATAAAAGTTTTAATATATATTGTCTTCATTTTGAAAAAGAGCGTATGTTATATTCATTCATTTTGTTGAGGGTTTTTTTTTTTTTGCAGTCTTAATTTATTATATTGCTAGATATCTAGTAATTTAAAAAAATAGCTGTAATATTTCTCATTTCTAATGCTTGAAAATTATTAAATTTTTTAAATTTCTGTTGCGTGTTATGAAAAAGGAAGCGTATGATAATCTTAATTCCTATATTGCTTGTTACTATTGCTTTTGCTTGTACATAAAAAAGAGCTTATTATAACAGTCCTAATTTCAATCACTTGTAACTGACACTTTTACGGCACTGTCTGTATTTCTATTGCTTATAATCCAAAAAGAGCTTATGATAATCTTAATTTCTATTGCTTGTAAATATAAAAAAAAGCTTATCTAATATCTAGCCCATTCTTGTAACTATTGTTTGTAAATAAAAAAGAGCCTATAAAAGTCTCAATTTGTATTGCTTGTAACTGTAACTTAGCAAAACTATCACCGTCTGTATTTCTAAGGTCAGCTACCATCATTTACTCCTCTCTTTTACTTTTTAGTTTTAGTAAGAGTTTTACGGCACTTGCAACACAATAAGGTCATATAAGTGCCGAAGATTAGAGTAGTTACAAGAGAGTAACAAACATAAAAAAGAAGGAGGAGAGATCAGGACGATAGATGTTTGATAGGAAAGGAGGAGCAAACCACATCAGAGCACCTGCCAACCACCCACCTTACTCCTCTCTGAATTCTCTCGACTTAAAATAAGTCAAAACTCCCTTTATTTACATATATATCACATTTTTCATCAACTACAAGGGTGTTGGTACAACAACGAGTACAAAGTACAGAAAATACAAAGTACAGACAAAGTAGAAAGTACAAAGTACTGACAGACAAAGTAGAAAGTACAAAGTACAGACAGACAAAGTAGAAAGTACAAAGTACAGACAGACAAAGTAGAAAGTACAAAGTACAAAGCACAAACTACAAAGTACAGTACAGAAATAGTACAGGCAGTGTACACAAGAGACAAAGTACAAAAAAGAAAAGTACAGACGAAGCACCGGACAAGTACATAAAGTACAGGCAAAGTATGGACACAAAGCACAGACAAAGTACAAACAGCAAAGTACAGACAAAGGACGGGCAAAGTACAGAACAAGTGGGCAAAGTACAGGCAAAGCACAAACAATATAATAACACAAACAAAGTTTGTCATTTAATTTCAATTTATTTATTTACAAAGTCGGATCATCTTCTTCTTCCTAGAGTTGACAAACATTCACACAATGGTCTCAGACAATTTCACATGTTTTTTTTTGCTGTTCTTCTGAACGCCAACGACTCGTTAACTTTGAGTGTCTCAGCTGTTCCAATCTTCCTGACAGTTACCAAGCTCGAACCTGTTGTTTCTTCATCTGTGACATCATCAGTCTCCTTCACCTATGTGACATCATTAGCCTGGCTCTCCTGGTCTCCACACTGCCAAAACGTGGACACACAAATAAACCAACAACAGTAGGGACAGACTGGTCAGTTAGACGACACAGCACCCACTCACAACAATCTATTTTTATATCCTATCAAACAAAACAACAAAAACAACACTCAACTCTCTAAGACGAAGACTAAGAGCGATATTTCTGGAAGGAAGCGTTGACCTCGCCGTCCTTGACCCCCTCCTGGTCGGGTCGGTCGACCATCCATCCCGTGCGGTACATGTTGAACACACGCGTCCGTCGCATCTCGCCCTTCATGTCGCCGTCCGTGTCCTTGATATACTTCATCAACCCACCCAGGCCGGCAAACAGGAGACCCAGCCAGGCACCCATGCGGTGGGACTTGTCTGTGGACAGACCCACAACAACATCAACAACAACAATAATAACATTCATAACATAAAAATAATAATAATAATAAAAATTCTGATAGCAATAATAACAATAATAATAACAATAACAATGATAATAATTCTAATAGTAATAACAATAATAATAATAATTCTAACAGTAATAATAACGATAATAATAATGATAATTAAAAACAATACTAATAATAACAATAATAACAACAGCAATAATAAAAATAATAATAAAAATGATATAATAATAATAAAAATAATAATAGTAATAATAATAATAACTGAGCATTTATATAGCACATATCCACGCTCTACAAAAAGCTCTATACGCTTTACAATTTATTATACAGAGGACTCTGATATATAATGAAGTCGTCAGGCCTGATCTTCAGTTTCGTTGAATCCAAGTGTTTGTTATATATAGCAATGTGAACAATATAAGTGGTGCTGCAGTGAAAGGTCTACCACTACCATACGCCGATACGACAACGTTTGCTTCCACAGACCAGCGCAAAACTCATTACTTAGATGTACGTCTATGTCTAAATTAGCCATCTGTATTTTCTGCCGAAGTTCCCACACGCGGAACACTTGCGCCTATGCTCCCCCATCCTCCCAGATACATGCCCGAACTGCCAAATGTGTGCTGGCAACCTGTCTGACCCCCTCTGACCTGCCACACACTGAGACACACCATGTCTTACCCACATGTAAACTTGTTTTAGTTTTAGTAAGAGTTTTACGGAACTTGCAACACAATAAGGTCATTTAAGTGCCAGAGATTAGAGGTGTTACAAAAGAGTAACAAACAAAAAAAGAGGGAGATAAAGACGATAGATGTTTGATAGAGGAAAGAAGGAGCAAACCACACCAGAGCACCTGCCAACCACCCAAGCACATGTAAACAGTGCATGTGTTGGTGTGAAAGAAAGTCTCTTATTGGTTGCATAAAATGTACACTATAGGCTAGACTAAGCGTGTACTCATCCATGGTGAAGTTTACAACCACAGTGCAGCCTCTCTATAACGACAACTCTTTATAACAACATTTTTTTCTGGTCCCAACAATGTTGTTATGGGAAGGTTGCACTGTATGTATAATAGTCAACAAACACCACACCACGTATTACATACATCACACTAGGTATTACACGAAACTAAGTCTAAGTATTACTTACACCAGACGCCAATCATGGTTCCAGCCCCGTATCCACCCAGCATGTGGTTGTAAAAATCTTCCTTCTTCCTGATCTGAGCAGCTGTGCTAACTCCCAGCCCGTATGTGGCTCCGGAGACAACTGTCAATGACACAAAGTCAACATGGAGGACACAGGGAACAAACCATCTCTGCCACAAACTTTAAAACAACTCAATACTCAATTATTTAGATATTAAACAGGCACATCTTCTACAGTTTAACAGGACTCAACTTTAGTGGACATGTAAATATAAAAGAATTCCTGATTACAGAATCCCAAAGAGAGTGTCTTATTGTGAGCTATCTTCAAGGAAGCATAAAGTTGTCACACAAAAAAAAAATGAGGGACAAAGACACCCTGAAAATGTCTCGGAAGGACTTCAACGTTAATCTTTGACATGGGAGAGCCTAGCTCCTGACAGAACCAGTTACTTTGGAGAGCAGCAGTCACAGTGAGTAGCAAACCATTAGCGGCTTCGCAAATTTAAAATGCGAGAATTCAAAAGAGAAGCCTGCCAGTTGCGCACACCTATGAGCATGTTTGTGTAGACATGAAACTTTTTAATTAAATGCTCAAAATGTGGGAAACTTTTCCCGGCCAAAATTGGTCTCGTTGGCCATAGCAGAATCCACAAGTCATTTTAATCTTTAATTCTTTGATTTTGCTTAAGAAATATTCTCCTCTGCTGATACAATATTCTTATGTTTAACAAGCTTTAATGAACATTAATTAATCACACAGACTCTTCTAAATCACCAAAACAAAAACTGGTCACTAATGTTTGAAGTCCCATGATCTATAAAATTTCAGCAAATCCGAGAGAGCAGTAGGAGCATAAAGAAAATGGCCAAGTAATTCTGTATAGAAATACTTGTCACGGTCTTAGGATCTACTTTGAGTCCAGCTTTGATAGCCTTTTGCATCTGATAAGACCATCTTGAAGCAGTATGCTTGAAACAGCTTTGCATTGGCCGTAGACATCGAGGAAGTAGATCTTCCAGCAGTATACAAGTTACAGCTTTGCCTGGGCGGCAGACATAGATGAAGTAGATTGCCAAGTACTACCTCCCTCCCTTCAGATCTTGACTTCCTTGTTACGTTCCAAAGGAGAGACATCGTCAATAGGTTTAGAATCAAAGAAGGTGTAAGGATGTGTCTGACAATTTCTTTTTCTTCTCTGCTAGATCTCATGAGTAGGCCTTCTGAATCTTCAATCTGCAGTGCTTCTGATTATTATGTATGTGACCATTTTTCCTACTTTGTAATGGCCTGGCTTCGGGCCAGGCAACCACATTCCAATTTCGAAGAAACTTTACAGTCCAGCTAGCCAAGCATTCATTCCCCTTTATGTTGGAATTTTTCAGGCATCACCAACTCCGACTAGAGTAGACTCCACATTCTGGCCCCTGAAATAACCCTGTCTCAAAAAAAGCCTGCCCCTTGGCATATTTACAGCAGATCACTAGGCTATTTATATCTACCCCAGGGTGTGAAGTGCCGGAAACATCTCTCCGCTGCCCTCAGGAGTTGAAAGCCTTGTTTGTCGTAGAGAAGAGCACCAGATGCTGCTAATCCTCCTGCAAAACAAAACAAAACAAAGATTTGAACCCAGGAAATTCAAAACAAGCTACAGAGGAGTCATAGCAGGTAGTTTAGTGAACGTGCTTGCGGCAGGGCGAATCGGCTGTGATACGCCCCGTAGACTTTTGTGATCAGCCACGAAGCCTCGCGTTACTGTGGGTTTACACAACTCACAGTTTTGTATCGTTTCTTGAATTGCACTGTCACATTTGATATATCTTTTTAAAAGGAAAAGAAAGATCTTCAAAACGGCAGTTGTGGTGTGAAAATCGATTTGGTAGAACTGGAAATATTTGCCTCTGAAAACAAGGCAATTTTTACAATATCATAAAATGAAATACTTCTGGCTGCGTATTTATGAAACTTTCAGAACCATTCCAGCATCTTTTGACACCTGAGTAGTTTAGGCTGAACTTTTATCACAACGCTATGGGGCTTCCTGTAAAAATGCATACACAAAAGCCAGTCAGCGACCAGGCGCCCCCCCTTCCCCCTGCACAGTGATAACGTGTTGCATCGACATCGCATTTATTCGCGCTTTACTTCTCCAAGATAATATCTCTATGAAATTATGTACTGACTGACAAAAGGATTCAGTTTTGTTTTTATTTTACCATATTTAGCTCTTGAATAGTGCAGATTATAGCTAAATCTAGATTCCCTATCTAGAATTAGCAGTAGTAGTAGGCTAGCATCAGTCAGAGAGCCTGCGTCTGCTAGACCTGACTTATTAGGCCTTGGGCTTTGGAATGTCTAAATAAAACAGTTCTAAGTAATTAAGTAATTTTAGATTCAGTATCTAGCTTTATTTTCCAGAGTTAATAATAATAAATCTCATCAAAACAATCACTTTTAGTTTTATTAGATTCAACTTTTTTCTAAAAACAGTTTTTTGCGCAAACTTACTAGAACTAGTAGAGTCTAACTGAGTTTATAAGCCTCTGCTCAGTCTTTCAGTACATACATGTATTTTCAGGATATTTTTAATTTTTATATTATCAAATTGTGCCATTTTCTTTTATATTGGCCAAAGAATAGCAGGAGAATTCTTAGACAGTGAGTCTCTGACTCAACATTTTTTAAAAAATTGTGCTCATCAATGAAAATATTGCTTGAGTTAGTATAGTATGAGGTTTTACGGCGCTCGCAACTGCTTAAATAAATATATGATAATAACTCAAAACAATACAACTGTCATGAATAGTGAAGAAAAATGTGTGAAAAAAATAGAACAATGAGGTAAACTATAATTTATTTTAAAAATTGCAAGTGCAAGTGAAGATCTCAGATGATTTTGTTATTTTTGGGTCATCTTTCTGTGGTTAATTAAATGTTCCAGTGGGCCTACTACTAAAATATATGTCTCCGATTCTAGCTTTATCTGGTAGTCAATGCAACTTTAATAAATGTGTGATGTGTTTTTTTTTGGTTTTTCAGATATCAAACAAGCAGCTCTGTTTTGGAACCAATGTTGATTGTTAGGCCTATTCTAGAGTTCCGATAAAAACTATCTCTCATGCATCTCATTAACTAATAATTCGCCGTAGGTGTATAAAGTCAAAAGTCGTGGAGGTAAAGCAGATCATATTTATTTATATAAAAACGCTAGAAAACGATTTAGAAATCTAAGCATGAGAAGTGTCCGTGAGTAAAATAACACCAGAAGTTTTACGATCATCATGAAGGCAAGGGCTTTCAAATGAAACTGTTTCAAAACATTATAAAATATATAGCATGACATGAGAACTTTGAAATTTTCACTAAACTGCCTAGATCTAGAAGCCCACAATTTGCCCCCACCGGACGCCGATTGATGACAGTAAGAAGAATTCCCTTTCCCCCATGGGACGCTGATCTGCAACGGAGCGATATAACAACGAAAATATAGTACTCACAATGATCTCCTTTTTGACATTGCGCACTTGTTTTTTAAGTTATAATTTCCTTTCTGAATGGTCTGTGTGGCCTGTGAGTTTGAGGTTGAACATAGTATATACAACAATTGGAGTAAATTTTTTAGAAAAATGTAAGGGAAACCCATTGGTATGACATGAGTGTTGTTTTACATAAATAATAAACGCCATGATGATAATTGGGGTGATGAATATTTGATCTAATGTTTTCAGGTCTGATTTGAATTTCTGTTTAGAACGTGAACATGCGATCATCACGTTCGATTAAAAATTCTCAATGCTGAAAATTTCATTGGTTGGTTTATATTTTTGCAGAGATACAGGGTGGCTATAATTCTAGATCTAGATAGATAGTAGGCCTACCGACGTTACACATGCATCCTGCTTTGTGGGGACAAGTGTCGTGAACTCTGCATGCCGTGTGGGTGGAAAGTGTTATCAAAGTGGTTGGAAAGCATACGTGTACCATCTTAGACAGTCTTAGTTAAGTTTGTACGTGAATTACAATCATCATATATATATACAATTGTTGACAGACTTGTTGGCCTTGAAATTATTCTCGCAGCAAACTGCAATGGACAGTTCCTCCTGGAAAACACCATCAGAGTTGCACTAGAGAGAGGTGGAATTGTCAAATTTTTATTGTTAGTCGTAGTAAACAAAACAGATCTACATGAAGCTGTAGTGAGCACCTAGCACACCTCTGTGATTGGCCCAAATATAGAGGAAATATTAGATTTCCACCATCTATTTTTGTCGTCTTCCGGGGCTTCCCTCACCAGTTGACTAGATCTCACCACCGTGGCCGGCCCACTTTGCCACAGTTTTAAAGCGTGCTATGGGCTTCGTCACTAGATCTAGATTCTAGATCTCGGTTCCATCGCCGACTGCTTGGGCTGTGTGTGCGCACATCATGTGTGTGTGTATGTGTGTGCATGAGCGCTTCTTGTGTGTGTGTACGTTTGTGTGTGCGCATGCGCTTGCGTGTTTGTGTGAGTACAACTTTGGGGAGAAGGTAAGTTTATGGTACGAGAATTGCTGAGACTATTTATAAAAGATATAGATCTAGATCTAGACTCTACACCGAGTAATACAAAAAACCCAAAACAAACACTGTGATACCTTGTCAACAGTTACTACTGGCAAGTCGTGGTGAGGGAAACTCAAGCCCTGCGGGATGACAAAAATAATAGACGGAAATGCATCATCTATATATTTGGGCCAATCACAGAGGAGTGCTAGGTGCTCGCTGTAGCTTCATGTGTTGGACCTACACTTTCTTCAACTTCAGTTGGACTAGGACACATAGGGGCATACCTGGGATACTCCCGACAAGAGCACCTGCTACGGTTTTTGGTATCATTTCAGAGTCATTGGGGTAGTACAAGGTGAAGTATTTGTTTAGTTCCCCTGGTCTCGTTCTGTACTTGTAGTAGTGATCGTTCGAAATTTCAGTGCTGTAGCGCAACTGGCCGTCCCCCATTGTTGCAATGTCCCTCCCTGACTGCACCGAAAAATGATAAATAAAGTTCTTTCACTCTGTGAGGCTGACTTTGAGAACCGGAAGTTTTCTACATCACCTTGAGATAACTCTTCAGTAAAGAAGGAAACTAACTGATGAATAGATCTAGAAAAAAGTTTTGCACAATTCTGTCCCCGTGGTTTTATGCACCCTGCAAAATTTAGCAAAATTTGATTTGCACAATTTTTGATTATTTTCCTTTATCACTCTTTGTGAAAATTAATAGAATCGCATAATTTCACATTTTTGGGCTCAGTTGGCATAATTTCAGAACTCTTTTTGCTTAAAACCGCAGGGACAGAAAATTAAAAAATCAATGATGATAAATAAAATCATATTCTTGTCAGTTTATTTATATATATACATGTACATGCATTATTATTTTGATCTCCAAATGTCTCACACATGCTGCAAGGAAATTAGTAAGAGAGAAACGGGAAAAAACAGCATTCTTATTCAAAGAATACTAAAACAATGCGCAAAACTTAAGAGGTCTATTCACGTTAAATAAAGTACTTTTAAAAAACCCTGACTTTAAAAGAAATTATGATAATAATAGGCTAATCGGTAATTGTAGTCCAGAGATTTTACAGTATTAGTAGTAGCAGCAAAGTAGAAGCAAAAACAGGAGGTGGAGGAGATGGGGATGGCGGTTGTGGTAGTGGTAGAGGCGTCTGCTCTCTGAAATCGGAAATCACGATTTAAAAACAAACAAACACAACCTACATCTGTTCAAGTTGTCTTTAATTAAGTTATTCTTGGTCAACCAATGCCCCTGTTTCAAGCTCTGCTCCTTCAAACTTCGCTAAGGTCAGATGTTAGGTAGAACAGACAAGGTTATTAATATTAAGCTACATGTATAGGCTATGTTTTGGGTAGGTGAAAATTTCTAGATATCTAGTGACAACTTTCAACACATCAAGTGAAATCAATAATAAAAAAAAGTAAGGGACCGTTCACAAATGACGTCATCTCGGGA